TATTACTATTACTATTACTATTACTACTTTATTCTACAAGAAAGGAATGCAAGCAAAATCATCAGTGAAAGAAGGGATTCTATATTTGAATTGCCACTTTTTTCACTTAAGGCAGAAAGGCCAATAGAGAAGAGCAAGATGATCTTAGAGCATGGGTGTGGTGCCTTTAAAACAGAAGTGTTTCTAGGAGATGGAGGTGATCTTGTAAAGATATTCTCATTGTATTTGAAAGATTCTCAGATCCCCCAAGAAAGATATAACAAGTTAGTTATATCTTCAGTTATTTAGTTATATTAAAAGAAGTAGAAGAATGAAACATATAAGCACTTTTTAAAACAATCTGCAGATATAACTTCTTTATAAATCCACATACAAATTTGTAAGGAGGCATAGTTGCCAAATTGCAGGGCTGCTTTTAAAACCCCCCCAAAACAAAGAATGGTTGTTGCTTCCATTTGGAAATGAATTGCTTTGTTCCGATTCAATTCAATTTGTAAATGAACTCCTTTTTGTTTTCATTGGAAAGCTGAAAGATTTTCATTCAGGCACAAGATAAAAGTTGAAAGGAAAGGGAAAGGAAAGAAAACTAGAGTGAAATGCTTAATGAAAATTAAACTGGATATTCATTTGCCATATATAAAACAACAGTTTATTGGTATCTATTCATACATACAGAATCAAAGAAGATTAGAGAGAAAATTGTTTCGGAACTTAGATACAATTTAGATTTAGGACAGAGAAAATGAATTTAGGAACTGAAAATGATTTGATGGCACATCATCATTCAATCAAAGCAAGGAAAATGCATCAAGAATTGTACAGTTGTGCTGGCATTAAGATGTTATTATTTTGCTATTGTTCTCTGTGTTATTTTACTGATGCAGAGATTCTGTTTAGTGATTTAATTTTAATAAGGTTTTATTCTTTTCTTTGGATGATAAGTAGCTTATTTTTTCCCCACTACTTAAAAGCAAAGAGTCCATATCAAACCAGAACCAGCTGCTTGCCATCCAAGCAGTAGTAATTCCCAGTTCTTTGGTGGCGGTAACAGTGGGGGAGGGGGCAATGAGCTGGATACTTTCCAAAAATATTAATTATTATACAGTTTGTAGATCATCATATGTCCATCCTTTTGTAAATGATCACATTTTTTGCTTATTTATGGATTTTATATATTGCTTTTCACTAAAAACAATGTTTAACTGGTTTGCATTAAAATATTTGCATTGTAAAATAAAATACATATATAAAATGGCAGTGATAATAAACCATTATTAGAAGGGCTAATGAAAAATAGAAACTCACTTGGTAATGATATTTATTAGATCCTTATTCATAATGTTGATCTGTGTCTTGCTTGCCCACAAATAAATTAAAAGAATAAATGAGATCTTTAAACTGACAATTAATTCATTTAGCAGCACATTAAAACAAATCCTTCAGTTCTCTTCCTCTTACATGTCTATACTATTAGCAAATGTCCATTGAGAATGCTTTTGTTTTCCTCCAAAATCTGATGGATTGTTATGTGAATATCATAGGTTCTTCTTCATGTCATGCTACCAACTGAAGATGTCCAATATGTGAGAGGCTATTCCCAGATAGGTTTTCTTGGCAACTGTCTAAGTCCCAAGACAAAGAATTCTAGATTTTCAGGAG